AGCAGCAGCAGCAGCAGCAGGGTCTGCTGCTGCTCCTGCTGCTGCTACGGGCTGCAGCAAACTGATGGAGCAGTTTCCCATTTTGAACAGCAAATGGAAAAGCCTTGGAAGCACTTTTGTGTGGCTGATGGCAGCAAGACTCTATTCTTTGCTGCTGCTTTCAGTACCCCGTGAGCAGCAGCAGCAGCAGCAGCAGCAGCAGCAGCAGCAGCAGCAGCAGCAGCAGCAGCAGCAGCAGCAGCAGCTATTTTCTTTAGATTCTTTTATCTCCAATTCTTTGTCTCTTCTTTCATCTCCTTTTTATCTGCTGCAGTTGTGCCTGCTTCTTCGTGTGGCACTTTAGTGGCTTTTGCTGCTGCAGAAATGGAACTGCGGCATCCCTCCTGTTGCTGCTGCTGCTGCTGTTGCTGCTGTTGCTGCTGCTGCTGCTGCTGCTGCTATTGCTATTGTTGTTTTAGTTGCAGCTGTCCCTGTCTTGATCCTTTTGCTTCCTCCACGCCCCTAGCAGGCAGTCCTTAACGTGTTTACGCTGCTGCAGCTGACGCTGCTGCTGCTGCTGCTGCTGCTGCTGCTGCTGCTGTTGCTGCTGCTGCAGTTTGCGTCAGCCGTGTTTGGAGCCGCTGTGGAGATGTCAGGGCTCGGCAGCAGCTGGAGTCCTTCACAGAGCGCCTCATCACTCCTTGGTACGTCCTTTTTGTTGCTGCAGCAGCAGCAGCTGCAGCAGCAGCAGCTGCAGCAGCAGCAGCAGCAGCTGCAGCAGCTGCAGCAGCTGCAGCAGCTCTAAAATTGGAGCTGTGAAAAGTTGCAGCTGAGCATCACCTGTAGAACTAAAGCCAGCAGCAGCAGCAGTAGAAGCTGCTGCTGCTGCTGCTGCTGCTGCTGCTGCTGCTGCTGCATGCAATTCCTTATTCAGGCACCCACTCCTTCCGCGTCGCTTGCGCAGCAAAGAAGCCATTACTTCTGAATTGATTACAAACAATTAATTATTTAATGATTAATAATTAATATTTAATTTTAAATTATCAATAGTCAATCGTTTCCGATTGAGAATCGGCTCGCTGCTGCTGCTGCTGCTGCTGCTGCTGCTGCTGCTGCTACTGCTGCTGCTGCTGCTGCTACTGCTGCTGCTGCTGCTGCTGCTGCTGC